TAATGGATAACTCTGAAAACATTATATCAGTGTCACTGTGGACGTTAAGTATGCATTGTTGCAACTTTTTGGAATGCTGATTTCAATTTAGAAGTGATTTTAGGGCTTTATAGTTTATACCTTCATAAACATTATGTTAAAATCTTCGTCGTCATAATCCACATCCAGAAGAGTCTTCAGTAGGGCTCTGAATTCTACAGGTGTCATTTTGTTATTGAATGCTACTTGAAAAGCTGCCTTGATGTTCCTCATGTCGTTCATACCACACCGGTCGTGTAGGGGTGCATTACGCCACCGTGCTTGCCCGGCAACATTTGTGCTCCCTAATTCAGACATGCTCAATATACTTTGGGACCGTATGTCCATATCAAGTTCTTTGGCCATTATTCGTAAAAAAATACACAATATGAACGAAACTTTTGTAAATATTTAATTATTCAAAATATTTTGATATGACGATTTGATACTTTTTATTTACGACATCCGATTGTGTATTGATTATTTGCTTTCAGTGTCAATCCAGAATAGTATGGCCTTATGAAATTCTAAGAAAAAGTTTAACTGTATTAAAAAGTTCGTAACAGTGTGGGCCACTGGCGACAGCCACTTACACTCAAGTACTTGAATCATTCGCCGGGCAGAAATTTGAGTCGACTTCCCCTATACTTATTATAGGTACTCTTTAGAGTCGACTGGTGAAGTCATCGCCGCCAACGAGGCCTACTTCTCTGACAACGAGAAAAAGTCATTTTCAGAGAAGCAAAATGTTGGAGCATTGTATGATCGAGTGTATCGAGCTAAAAGGAAACTATTTTGAGAAATAAGTACTTTACCACTTAACCAAAATTTACGTTTTTTTGTTGGCAAAGTATCTACTTATCGGGCTGCCTTCGTATTATCAATGTCAAAACTTGGTCTTAACATTATTGATTTATTAAAAATCTGCATTAAAAAACCGACTTCAAAAACTAAAGACAAACAAAAAGTAAAGTAAAAACTAAAAAGGAAATAAATAACTATTATTGGTCATACGTACTTATAGCTTACACACCCACTGATAGGTTAGAAGTCGGTGCCACAAGTTTTGAACAAAATTATTCATTAAACAAATCCTTAATAAATACCTAACATTATTAAGCTGTTTACAATTTTATTATGGATTATACCAGCTGTGACCATTAACTACTTTATATTTTGTTAGGGGTTTGTAGCACCGCCTTTTAACCTATCAGTGGTCAACCTTCTAACCTAAACCAGAAATAAATGTTAAAACCTACCCCATACATAACCCCTCACACCCACATGCACACACCAATTAAATACTATGCATAATAAGAATACCTACTTACTTTTTACACTAACCCCCTAATCCTTACTATCCTTATCCTTACTAATATTATAAATCGGAAAGTGAGTTTGTTTGTTTGTTCCACTTTAACGCCGTAACTACTAAACCGATTGCTTTGAAATTTTGCAGACGTAAAGTTAGAAGTCCGGATTAAATAATAGGGTACTTTTTATCCCGGAAAAATGTTATATTCCCGAGGGAAAACAAAAGTATTGGTACTATACTCGGGGTACTTACTACTATACTTAAGTAACTACTTGCCTATATTCCGAACTTAGAACCAAGATCAAGCGAAAAATGTCAACAGCGTACGATGAATACATTAAGCGCATACAATGGAAGCTAAACCGTGAGCCAAAGGCTTTCTGGCAATATATGAATAGTCTGAAAGTTAGAGGGGGTTTTGAAAATAGAGTCAGTTATGATGGGAAAGAGTATGTTGGTAGTGATGCTGCTCAGGCTTTTTCAAATTTTTTCTCTAGTGTATTTTTACCTGATGTTCCTGATCTTGATCATGAAAACCAAAATAATCAGAACAAAACAGCTAATTTGGTACATGTTGATAAATTAACAATTTGTGATGTCGAGACAGGAATAAACAAATTGAAACCTTACTCTGCAATAGGCCCTGATAACACACCCGCTTATATCATAAAAGGTTGTAAAGAATATTTAAGCTCTCCCATACTCCATATTTTTAACATGTCATTGAAAACTGGTATTTACGCAAAACGTTGGAAAGTCTCGCGTGTCCAACCCATACCCAAAGGTAATGACCATTCTCAAGTAGAAAATTACAGGCCAATAGCTATTCTCTCTGCGCTTCCAAAACTATTTGAATCGATTTTACACAAACACATTAGTTTACAAATACAACCACATTTATGTGATTCACAACATGGATTCAGATTTAACCGCTCTGTGACCACTAATCTCCTAACAGTAGTAGACATTATTTCGCAACACTTAGATAAAAATATTCAAGTGGATGTAATTTATTTTGATTTCAAAAAGCCTTTGACCGTGTGGATAATGATATATTACTTGGTAAACTCGATGATATAGGTTTCTCACCGCAATTACTTAAATTTTTCTCAAATTACCTCCGTGATCGTCAACAATATGTAAGACATGGTTGTTTTATTTCTCCACCTTATCACACTCGCTCCGGTGTTAGTCAGGGTTCGGTATTGGGCCCTTTGCTGTTTGGATTGATGGTGAACGACCTAGAATCTTGTCTCAAGCATGCGAGGTGTTTATTGTATGCTGATGATCTTAAACTTATTTATGGGGTGAAAAATTTAGCAGATGCAGATACCTTACAGAGTGATATTAATGCTTTGTACCAGTGGAGCAATGAAAATAAACTCCATTTTAATACAGCCAAATGTAATGTAATGTCCTTTAGTCGATCACATAATCCTTTGCATGTTAAATACTTTTTGGGGTCAGAGCTCATAAATCGAGTCCACACCGTAAAGGACTTGGGTGTAGTCTTCGACTCTCGACTAAACTTTCACGAACATATGAGGTTACTTACAATTGACTCTTATCGCAGATTAGGTTTCGTTATCCGTAATATGCGTGAATTTGATAATCCTAAAGCTATCAAACTTGTGTACATGGCCCTAGTTCGTACCAAACTGGAGACTGCATCTATTGTATGGAATCCTCATGAGAGTACTTATGCTTTATTGCTGGAGAAAGTGCAAAAAGCATTTCTTAGATTTCTGTACAAAAAGCTATTTGGGTACTATCCATTCTTATATCCCACCAAGTTTTTACTGGGCATGTTAAATTTTAATTCTTTGGTAGTGAGGCGAAATTACTCTCTTATTATTTCTATCTGTAGTACTCTGCGAGGACAATCTGACTGTCCGGAGCTGGTGGCACAGGTGGTACGGTTGTTTGTGCCCCCAGTTCTGAAGCATCAGCTTAGGCCACGTAGGCACCCCTTACTGGCTGTTCCAGTAACGCGAACAGTCGCGCATGCAAATTCTCCGCTTGTTCGAGCATTAACGATGATCAATGCTTTCCTGGCATCCGCACCAGAGTGTGATTTGTTCGCAGCGAGATGGAAGGATGTATGTCGTGAATGTGTAAGATTTTGTGAGAAGATGGACGGCTGATGAATTAGTTTAAGTAATTATAATTATTGTACTTTTTTATATAAGATACCTATCACATAAGTGTAAAATAGTAAATAAGTAACTTTTTTTTTTTATTATTTAACTGTATAATGTTTTGGCTTGTGCTGTAGAGTTGTACATGTGCTTATAAATAAATAAATAAATAAATAAATAAATAAAATAAATATGTTAAAAAAATAATGTTTAGCAAATGTAATTTATGATGAGCCAGTGACAGCCCTAAAATTTGCAATCCGCCTGAAAAAGGCTGTTAAGCTGTGCCTACTATTATGCTTACCTTAACATGCAATTAAAGACTTTGAGTTTAAGTTTGAGTTTGAATTGAGAACCTCCTCCTTTTTTGAAGTCGGTTATCCAATTTAAACCTAAGTAGGTAGTACTACCTACCTACTACCTAGTATGTATGTACATACATACATACTACTAATGAACATACATTAAGCAGCTTACAAACAATTATAAGCATAGTATCGGTAACTTGATCGGTAAGTTATAATTATTTTGTTTCGCGATTGTGACGCTTGTGGCACGATGGAAAAGATTTTTTCTATTCCATTTGTGTTACTTACACACTTCTAAACTATCAATGAGTAGTACAGTGAATAACAGTAGAGGTATTTTGTTTGTTTTTAGTTTTGGTATATTTTTGAAGTCGGTTTTTTTAATCGTATTTTTATTTTTTCCTTTTCAATTGTTGTTCGCCTATACTTGTATGTATACCTAACGTAAACAAATGATAAGCCACACCCATAATGTATGTATAAGTATAATTTTGAAGGAATTTTCTTGGAACTCCCAACAAAAGGTAAAGGTCTCCTAAACTTATAACTTATTAACTCAGTTTAGTTGTACCTTCCATCAGCTCATCGACATTAAATGATGATCATCAGACTATTTCATTATAGGTACTAGATACCTACGAGCTACGGTATACCGCACTACACCTCACGCACGACAAGGTTTTACATCATTTGCATTGAACGACATTTTTAAGACCATGCAAGCTAAACGTGATTCGGTTGAATTGAAGAATTCGTTATTTTTATTACAATCCACAGCATATAAGAAAAAATACAAATTCCACTAATTAGTCAAAATATTTGTCGAGAAAACACAGTGTAAGATTAAAAGTACCTAGTTCAGGTTTTATATAAACTTACGACTTTCCTTAGATAATAAGATTTATTTTGTAATCTGGCTTTATACACCAAATAAACATTTATAAAAGTAAAACACCAAAAATTTGTTTTATAAGCAGTGTATATATCTAATACGTGAATGTTCTAAAATAAAAAAAAAGATACTAAAAATAAACATACACATTTAAAAAATACGATTAAATAAATTATAGAGTAGGCAAATACAATTAAAACATCATGTCAACATCAACAACATCAGACATTTGCTCGCATCACCGACGAGGAACCCACCCAAGCAAAACAACGGCGTGACCGCGTGACAATGGCATGGTGCTTGCTGTTGCTGGTCTGTGGAATACGAAGCTAGTTATCTCGGCTCGAGCTCGACTGGCGGCGACGTGTTGGCGGCCCGTGCGCAGGCTGTGCTTGCAGAGATGAATGATGTGATCCATGTGCTGGCTGTCCCTGAGTCACTTGAGATAGTCGTCCTGTTATCGTTTGAGACGCATTTGAGTCAAAGTGGGTTTTCTTTGATTTCACGCGCTTCAGTCGTGTTTCGCGAACTAGTTCAGGGGTTGGTGGACGTCGCACTGGCTGCGTTGACGCCATACGCAAGTGTGCGTAGATCGGTATCTGCAGCACATCAAAAAAATATGATTAATAACTGAACACAATAAAAATACATCGGTAAAGTTTAGTTGTTTGTAAATTGTAGGTGCTCACTATAGGCAATGAATCGTCGAGTAGAATTGGATCTATTTTGTCAGGTCGTTGCGGCAGCGAGGAGTACTTTCCAAGCAACGGCTCGTTGGGCGCCTCGCCGTAGGTCTTGGTCTTGAGCTCGTGCACGGTGATATCGTGCAGCTTGTCCACCACCTTCTGCCCCGGCACGTAGCGCGACACTTGGCCACTGCGCCACACCTGCAGACAGCACGCACTGGTTCACTGCCGCCCTCAGCACACTGTGACGCGGCGTGTGGCCGCCGGCTGGCGCTCACCTTGAACGTGGTGAAGCTGGCGACCTTCTTCACGTCGGGCGGGAAGCGCGTCACCTCCAGGGTCCACGGCAGGAAGCTGCCCAGTGTCTGCAGGTACTCGCCTGACAGACGCCACACTCGAACGCTGTAGTCTGAACTGCCGCTGGGAAAAGTATTTGCTGTTTGTTTATTGTTGCTAATACGTATAGGTGATTATAGGACAATCGGTAAGTTAAGACATTGAATCGTGTCGCTAAAATTGTCTAAGGTAATTTGGAATCTAGTAGGTACTAATTACTATAATGTCACAGATTAAATTAAAGCTTACGTGAACACAAGCTTATGTTCATCAATGTATGCTATAGAGGTAATACTGCGGAGGTGTGCGCGGTAGCTGTTCAGTAGCAGCGGCTTGGGCTGGTCCCGCACACTGCGCTTGGCGCGACCCTCGATGCGGTCACGCCACAGGAACGGGAACATCAGACGGAGCCGCGGCATATTAACATGAACCTAAGAAGTTAACATCAAACAAATACTCTGAAATACCTGTTACCCACACTCAAATACTGTCAAATAAGCAAAGAAACTCACCAGTTCGTTAATAAGATAATTGCTCATGAGCCACACCTTCACGTAGCCCAGGGTTGTGCCCGTAAACAGGAACTCGTTGTTTTTATCTGTGGCCAGGCACGATGCGTAGTCGCCCGCCGTGTGGATGACCTGGAATGAACCTTGGTAGCCACCCGCCGAGTGGTCCGACCAACACTGTATTTGACCATTTTCTAGCGCCAATAAGAGACTAGCTAGAGAATAATAAATCAATTAAAACAACTGTCCAATAATTTGCTACTCCGTGTAATTATAATACTATAATATGTACACAATATCCTACCAATCGTGTCTAAGTATAAAAAAAAAACTGAAAAAATAGATTTTTACTTTTATGGTTCAAATCCAGTTCATGGAAAACAGAGGCTTAAAGAAGAAGTTAAGACGTCTTTGAGAAAATTGCTTGAAGTATACTGACTATTACTGACCCACACTCATATGTTGCGGTCGTGTCTGCAGAAACACCACGGCATGCACGGCGAGGAGACGCATGTTCCGCTCACGGCCTGACGTGGTCATGCCCCCAGATATACGGCGCTCGGTCGCCTTCCTTACTGCATCAGATGTCGCCAAAATGTTTTCACGAGATTCTCCCGCTTGCGCACTAAGGAATACAAAGTGGTATTGCTATAAGAAAACTATGTGAAATAATGACGTGTTTATAAATGCACTCATGGCCATGACATAGAAATAAATAAAAGAGAATTCAACCCCTTCGTTTTTTGAAGCTAAGTGTAACAAACACTTTTCTGGAAATCCATCAAAGTCGGTTTAGTCTATCACGAGATAATCGCGCACAAACACAGAGTCCAAACTGCGAGCCTTTTTTAAAAAAATGTTACTAACTAACTACGTACCCTTCACAGACAGATCTACTCACTTGGATTTTCGGAAGTTACTCCCTGTCCCTAACGTTCGTCTCGGCGGGGCTACAGGAGCTGGCTTGCTAGATTCACGCCGGCTATAAACCATCTTGATCCGCAATGTCGGTTCCGTACACGAAAACCGCCTGGAAACATACACATAGTTATAATAAATACCACTAGCAGAAGCTAGTAACGTTTAAATCTAAAATCATGATACAAAAATTATAATTATACAAAAATACATTTTCTCGATCAGAAATTCAAGATGAATATAGGTAACTAGCTTCTGCTTGCGTACTTCGTACGCGCAATCCCGTTTTCTCCCGTCCTCATAAGATTTTCAGGTTTTTTTCTGTCATAAGAACCTTCTCCTGACAATGACAAACACATCAAAAATTACATCAGCCAAATCGTTCTAGCCATTCTCCAGTTATGACGTGACAACGGGAAACGGGTTTCATTTTTATATATATAGATTACTACATACACACATAAACTTACGCCTGTCTTCTATGGGGGTAGGTTCCTCCACAGCCGGGTTAAGGGTAATTTTAATTACTATTTATATAATTACTCATTATAATTATTAGAAAGTTCTTCTTATTACAACGAACGTTTCCAAAACTGCAATAAATCGAAAGTTCATCGCGTAGTACCTGTAGGGCTGGCCAGTCTCCAATTTCCACAACACCAGCTCGGAGTTGTAGCTGGAGGTGGCCATCGTGAGAGGAGGCCGTGCTGCAGAAGCTAGCACATCGTCCGTGTGACGTTTTTCCCAGCTTTTGCCAGTAGTCGCCATACCGGTGTCCTCAAACTCAACAACATGGCGGTTCCACCCAACTGCCAGTATCCTGAGACAAACCCAGAGGACTGTAGTAAAACAAACAACCTTTAGCTACTTATTAGCTCTCTTAAATATTGGCTTCATTTCAAAATAAACAATGACCAGTTTCCAGATTGATTGTAGATCTGTTTTTCTCGTCTAGTTTATTGGCAAGGGTTTGTAAAATGTGAATAATGAACAGTAAGGATTCTGGCTGGAAATCACGTATTACGTATGTGGTTATCTACACTAAGTCTTACCTGCCTTCAACCCAGAAGCAGTTGGTAACTTCGCACATATGCTCGATGGACATCGTTCTCAAGCATAGACCAGTGTTAAAGTTCCAAACCTGGACAAAATGGGAACGAAGTACCCAGTTAGTTAAGATTAATTGAGAAAACATTTAAATTACAGAGTAGGTATGGGAACATTATTATGATTCGTCACAGCAATAACCTTGAGTTCGCCGTTTCTAGCTCCAGTTAGCATTAACTGGTAGCCAGGGTCGAAGCAGGCAGCAGTAATCTCCACCGGAATCTGTTCGCCGTGCATGTGGCGCACGTGCGCTTCGCGGATCAGCACGTTGCGTTTACCTACATGCGATAACCAAAAAATAATAATTCTGATTCTCTTAAATAGTTCACTTCATTTAAAATTATTAAAGATCGGCAGACGTCTGATAAACAATTTCGTTTTACACGTTAGTTACGTTCAATTGTTCATCGACCTACGAAAGCCCTGAGAGAAGCCGAAAACAGGACAAGATGGACAGAAATAACACAGAAAGCAATGAATGCCTTTTAAGGGGACGACCTTCACAAATGAGGCAAACGATTAAGAAGAAAAGAAGTTAGTTACATGTAATTAGAAAGTTATAGTTAGGGGATTAGAAAATGTACTTAAGACAGACATGTTCAGTATCCATAATCGTCCCAAATACGTGTTTAACGTAATTATTAGGACCTATTTACCATATCTTTTTGTTATACATATAATAAATATCCTTAAATACCTGTTATTGGATTCCAGTTTATAATAATGCTGTCAGTACCACAAGTGATAATGACTTTAAACAACGGGTTGTAGAGAACTGTGGAGACAGCTCGCGAGTGTGTGAACCCGTCAGTGTGCAGCGGGTTCAGTTGCTCGTCCAGCACTACGACAGCTATCTTCATACAAGCCAAGATGAACTCGCGGGTAGCAGGGTTATACACCGCAGATATAGGCGTGCGCTCGCCCACGACAGCAGGTATGTCGATGTAAGTCTAGAATTTGTTTCTGTTCTTTATAAATCATTTTATGTTCTAGATATAAACGTATTCTAAAATAATTTACTGGTTACATAAGCACCACTGAATTGATAGAAAATCTCATTTTTGTATTAGATACCTGGCGGCACACTTGGCTTAGTACATCCCACACTTTAATAGTTCTGTCTCTAGACAGCGAGTAGATAGTCTGTCCTTTGTTCTGCAGTACTATGCAGGTGACGGCGGCGTGATGTCCTATGAACAACACGTTAGCTTTGGCTGTCACGAACGGGTTCCACACCCGGACCATGCAGTCAGGACCTCCCGTCACCAACACGTGTGCCTCTTCGTCGAACGCAAAGCATTGAAAGCCCTAAACATCAACCAATCTTTTTTTAATTCATCTCAATCTTGAAGCTTGTCATTCTTGATAATTGTACTAGAATGTCTTGTAAGAAGGTAGGTACACAACACAATAGTAGTAAAAACGAATATTTTTTTTATTTTATTACCTTATCAACTCTGAACATTTTATGTGTCTTGGAGCCACTCAAGTCGCACATGAGCAGTGAGTCAAAGCAAGTGGCACAAGACATGACGCAGTGCAGCGATGCGTAGTACGACACCTGGCGCACCCACTCCGGGTGCACGCGCACCAGCTCTACGAGGCGCAGCTCCGGCAGAACACGAGGCTGCGAATCATTTGCGGTTACCCTGAGGTCGCCGTACAACGGTACCATAGAATTTACTCCAATCTTTCTATAAAATTTACGTAATTACTGTACATAGGCATCATTATCATTACCCTCTTCTGTAAGTCAACATGTCGTAATGTTTTCAAAGCCCGACCAGCGTCGTTCCGGAACGGACCGCGCATGTGTGCTGAGAAGAGCAGCACCCTCACGTTGCCGCCCACGTCGCCGCAGATCAGCTTGCACTGGTCCATGTCATCTTTGTTGAAGTAATAATACATCGTGCAGATCTAAAAAACATATACCTACTTGTGATGTTTACTTACGTCCCGACGCGTAACGTTATTAAACTATGTATATTTATTGAGAAAGATCAAAGATCCCGTCATTCTAAAGGAGAACTAAAATAAAATTTCAATATTTTATCTCAATCAAGACATTAACTGTAGTCAATACCTAACGTATTCTTCAAATTTTATTTAGATTAACTATAATACATAAAGATTTTTGTGTATTTCTTATTTCTGAACTACGAAACCGAAGTAAGCTTCCTTGCCATACATTCCCAACTTGTAATAATTATCTTCAAGATAAAGGTTTTAGCGGTGCAGTCGTAGAAGCGCAGGTCTCTCTCGGTGGAGCTGGTGACGATGATGTTCACGTCGGGCATGCACACCATGTCCGTCACCCATGTTGAGCGGACTTTCAGATGAGCTGTGAGAGAAGAAAATCAAATCACAAGAAGCGAACATTTACCAATCTTCAATTTATTATTAAAACATGTTAAAACCTATGTCTACATCGACTTCATCTATACGATTCGATCCAAAAACTGCATTTGGTATATTACTAACGACTGGAAGAATAGCCGGTTCTCAGCAGCTTCATATCCAGTGACCACCAGTTGACCATGCCGTCGCGGCTCGCAGTAATGTACGTCCCTTGCATCGGATCCGTGCAGCGATCCTGTTATGTTATATTAAATCTCTGATTATATCAAGTGTCTTGTTATACTAGCTTCGCACCAGTTTATGAAATCAATAATAACCTTGTCGACGTCGGGACAGAAGCATATCCTAGATATTGGATGCCTGTGCTGCGAGCGCATGATGACAGGCAGTCCCATGATGGGCAGCTGCAAGGACTCCCGCTGGTTCTCAGCGTCGTTTCCAAAGTAGCCGAGGATCAGGTGTGAAACCAGTTCGTCCCAGTCAATTTCACCCGTACGACTGGTGTTTATCTGATTGGTTTAAGTATCTAAATTTGACTACTTCATCGTAAGCGCATTGTTTTATTTTAGTATAATTTGAAAAAGTATCACGGACTTTCTTAGCTACTCCTAAAAAGGCAGAAAGGCCCATCCATTACAATATCTTAATATGGTGTCTCAGAATTCTACAGAATGCAGGGGATAATCTCTCGTGTCGGGGTCGTGGACGCTGAAACGGGGCGTTTTTAGTCAGATTTCGACACTTTCTTCTGTTTAACTTGTATGAAAAAACCACTGAATAAAATAGTTTTTAGTAAGAATGTATATATGGTTGCAATACCCTGGGACATGTCTAACAAGGCTTCATTACAGGTAAGTACAAAACAAGCACCTTTAAAAAGAGTATATTATAATGCTCATCATCGTACTCAGCATTCAATAATGTCTTGATTAACTCTCTAAATTCTCCGGCACTCATTTTGTTTCTGTACGCTGATTGGAAGGCATCTTTCAAATGCATCATATCCATCATGGTGCAACGTTCATGTAGGGCCACATTACGAAACCGGGGTACTGTTGTCGCTACAAGTCCAGTTAATGAACTTTCAGACTTCGAAGAATCGGATACATCCAGCTTAAACTCGTCATTTGCCATTACCTACTGTACAAAATAAATGACTAAAACTTATAATATCACACAAAATACAGCCATAACAAAGAAAAATAAAAAGTATAACAATTGTTTTATAATATTTGTCTCAAAAAATGTTGTTAATATTTTTACAAATGTCAGAAAGTACCGCTAGCGAATATTGGCGTTTGATTTTTTGACACGTTTGCATTTGACCAAGGAGTACCTACGTAGGCAGTCTGAGGCAGTCTTATTTACTTAAACTTCATCTTCTTTATGTTAGTTAACGTACCTATAAAGTCAATCAGTCAACCAGTCAGTCAGTCAGTCAGTATGCCAGTCGGTCAGCCGGTTAGTCACTCAGTCAGTCAATTAATCAGTTAATCAGTCAGTCACTTCTAGTCGTGCCCTATGGGGACAAGTGGAAGTAAATGACGTAAGTGCCTACACTTACCTAGTGGCTGACTGGCTGAAATTGAAACTTGTAACTCAAGGGAGTGTTGGGCAACCCTACGAAATATGTTCCTTAAATTCTGACGGGAGCTACAGAAACGGGAATAACCTATTTGTGCGTACGACGTCGCAGGTACAAGCTAGTAAAATAATAAAGTGATTAAGCTTTTCTAATTGGCATTTGATTAAATAACCGTCGAAGTTTTGTGGTAATTCCAAAGACTTAAGAATCCTTTTTTATGGAATAGGGGTCAAACGAGCAGACGGATCACCTGATGGTACGCGATCAGCGCCTCCCATGCACACCCGCAACACCAGAGGAGTCACAGGAAATAGGTTCGTAGGCCGTATCGATTCATCGATCAATAGGGCTGATGCCGATTCGGAGTCGCGGAGAACCTAACGGGTTACCGGGGCTCCGGTTTGAAGTGCAGGAGAAGGAACAGAGTGGTTTTTAGTCAGTAAGATTCTGACACTCCCTTCCGCCTCACCTAGGCGGGAGAAATCATTCGATGATTTTCCCCCTTTAAAAAAAACGCCGTATCGATTCAGAAATACCGCTGACGACAGATCATGACTTTAATATTGTATCATATTTTTTATTTCACATTCTTTCTTGTGTTCGCAATAAAGTATAAATAAATAAATAGAAGTTTACAAATATACCTGTATGGTATTTATTGTATGATATGATTGTAAAATTTATTATACTAGTACATTGCCTGTTTATAAAGGTTACTTATCACCTGCTACTTTCACTCCTCTGCTCTACTTAAAGGATGACTGGGAAACAAAGCCCAAAATATTAAGTCCACCTGTGTACACTTGCTGTATTAAGTGGAAATAAATAAATAAATAAAATCATTCCAGAGTTTTGCTGTGCGAGACAGAAAGATGCGAGAGAAGCGCACAGTTGTGGCCTGCCAACTATCATTATGATGGAAAGGACGAAGCAGGTATCAGATCAAACAATTCCTCAGAGCACTCTCCGTGGTATATGCGATAGAAAATGCACAACGAAGCTACATCTCTACGAATTTCCAAAGTGTCTAACCGGTTTGAAACTTCCCGAAACCCAACAATTCGAACGGCACGCCGCTGAACGCGGTCCAGAAGAAGCAGGGACTGGGGTGCCTGCACCCAAAGATGAGAGCAGTAAGTACTCCATGTCAACCTGGGCCTTATATAGATATAGGCATGCGATAGACCGGGGTGAAATACTGCCTCGACCTATTGAGCACACCAAGCTTCTGCGAGGCTAATTTGGCCTATTTCAATACCGGTTGAGGCAGACCCTGTGTCTTAGTGTGGTCTTCAGTCATGATCGTCATGATCAACTTCGTAAACTACAAATTCATTGCTGTCAATGTCACATTTCATCTGACTGACAGTTGACACTGGCATTAAAATTAGTGACACTGACAGTAAAATAACCTTAGTTTTCTCTACATTTCTGTGCTCTTGCTTTTAAATTGTTTAGAGTGGAGTGGATTTTAGCAACATGTTTCTAACTCTAAGGTTATTGTCGAACCGACACCCTTCGTTTATTGCACGTACAGTTTTCGTGAAAAACGATAATGTTGATGACGCCTGTCGGCTGATGAACAGAATTCTTGGCAAGGAAGGCATACTCGAGCAGTACAGGCTAACCAGATATTATGAAAAACCATTTCAGGTACCATTGTAAATTCTTCACATACGCAGTGTAATAAACAGGGTCTAACATTCATATTACCTGTTTATTTTTCCAAATATCTTGTACACATGAATACTGATTATGACATTCGTACCACTATAAACTGTGAACTGCTTTTGCATATTCGTCACATAAGTGCTGATACAATTGTTTTTACTTTTCAGACAAGAAGAAGAGTGAATCACGAGCGTTGTAAGGCCATATACAATGAGGATATGGAGAGAAAGATACAATTTGTACTCAGGAAGAACAGACATGATCCCTTCCCTGGCTGCTCTTAAACATTGTAAATGTATTTGTTTACAACTTAGAAAGTGTCCACATGTGTCCAAAGAGTGCTACAACCATGTACTAGTGTATAAGAAACTTTTAAGTAGGTTGCAAGTAAGATGGGTAGCAATCTGTTATTATTTATTGTAGTAAGAACATAAACTTAACATGATTCATTTCTCAAAGGTGCATAATGTTACCACAGTAAATATTTATTGATATTATATAATGTTATAAGAACCACAACCATTTCCTAGAACATTGTTAGACTTTATAAACAGAAAATTGTATATCTACTGGTGACATAATGGCCCTTTGACCCTGAACATTTCATCACTTGTATGTCACTAACTTCAACACAAGCCTGAAACACAAGTGAGCCTTGGTTATGAAACATGTATATTGTATAGTTTATAAAAGAAATCAAATTGCATTGTACTTTAGAGAATAAAACATGATATCAAATAGTATCCAAAAGTGTATTTCTTACAACATAATTAAGTATGTATAGTTATTTACTTTCATTTAGCAAAATATTTACAAGAATTGATGCGTGGTCATTTTACTGGTAATAGAACAGTCTTTATAAGAATATATTATTATGAAAGCTATGATCATGAGGACTAGAATGTAGGTTTGGCAGGGTGCGCGGCGGCGCGGTGGCCGGCGGTCGCGCCGTCACGTGTAGGTAAGGCAAGTATCGCGCTGCTTCACGTAGAAGTGGTAGCGGTAACATCTGTGACAAGTCTTGATTCCACAGCGGTAGCTCAACCCTCCTTGGGGCTTGCCCTTGCAGTACTTCAATCCACAGGGATACCAGTTCACACACACCTGTCATAAAATTTATGAAATATAAACATCAGCCAATCTTTTTCATTCAGGCATTATTAAGTTTTAGTTTTTGTACTTATGATAACATTGGAGATTTTAAATATTACTAGATGATATTAATTTGAGATACTGTATGCATAGTGCCTTTTTACAAGCCATGCATTAATTGTAAATGTTTAAATTTAATTAATATCAAACCTCCATGTGACAAATGCACTCTTTAGTGCGGTCTGTCTCTGAAACACATGCGCCAACTGCCAGCTTCCCATCCGTTGTATCTGATGAGAGTGCGTGCGGTGGAAATGGAGTCACTACTGTGGCATATGAAGACTGATCCAGCCCTAAAAATTTTAACAACAACAAATCATTTACCCATCCAGAAGTAATTTATGTTCGAAATATGGACACAATACAGGGTGTAATCAAAACATTTCCGATAAACCATGACAGGTGATGGTAATGTTTTTTAACATCACCTGTCAGGTTTTATTTTCATAAAAATAAGGGAATCATAACATAACATCATGCCTATCTTCCCTGAAGGGGTAGGCAGAGGTGCACATTACTGTAATGTTATGAGTCTCATGTAATAGGGGGTGAGCCTGTTAAAAATAAGGGATTAAATGTTTATTTTAGGTAATAATAGTTGTAATCAACTGCTCAAGGGTGATGTTGCATGAATAATGGGAAAACAAAAAAAATTTAAAATTGTAACAACAATTTCTTTTGTTAGTGTTTCAGGAGCAGGTAGATGGTGCTCTGTCATTTCTCAGCAGAAATCATTTGTTTACCCTGATGGGGCAAATGTATGTTATAATTTAATTTAACATTAACTAAAGAAACAAGACAAACCCGGGCGTGGAGCCCACCGCGCGAGATCAGCGGCGCGCAGGTAGACGCGGTCTCTGGCGGCCGCGCAGTGCCGGGCCGCGGGAGCAGACAGCAGGCGCACGGCGCGCCCGGCCCACGCACTGGCCGTGGTCTGCCGCCAACCCTTGTCCTCTTCTGCTACTCTTATAGTGCCTGGGTTTTTCTACAGAAGTAAATTACATGCTTGAACTTCTGATATACCATAATACCACATAACATGCTAAATAATTACAGTTATACAAAACACAGTAGGTATCTACATGCAATTTGTGAAAACAGTATGTTACATAATTATTTTCTCTGTCATATGATTTATCTTCCAGTGCAGTGGTATTTTAGAAAGATTTAGTTACATGTTATTATACAGATTATACAGTGATATAATGTGGTGGAGTGATACCAATACACACCTGTCTCAACTTGGCCATTGCATCAGGAGCTATGAAGTCAGCCTGGGCAGCATGAGTCAGGAAGCACAGTGTCTGGTGGCCTGTTTGTCCCATTTCTTCTTCACCAGGAATTATAAGCTTCATAGCCTCCACTTCCTAAACATATCACTTATTACTTGAAAACCATCAGTCATCATAATACACTTTTTGGTCCAACTTAAGCCATTATAATAGTAATTGTGTAGTATATATTTTGTTATCATAAATTATTTAATTAAAACATTGATTGATTAACAAAAAAGTTGATAACAAAAATGATTAATTTATATGAGCACCATAGATTATTTCTTTATAAACTAGCAGTGAAAGTTGCATATAATATAGAATATTAATGAATGCTGTTGCTAAACTTAATTAATTAATTAGGAGAATATAGTAGTAATTTCTAATGGTATGGAGCCATTAGGGGCAGGTACTCACGTTAGTGAAGTCGACGAGCTGCGACACGAACACGCCATCCAGCCGCATAAACTCGAGGGTGATGGTATCTTCTGACACATTCGCAGTTATGTTCTCCTGCATAACGTCGCCACCCTGGACATTGCCAACCAAGAAACAACTGATACATTTCAGTCTTCACACATAATGTCTATTATTTCGACATAGCTACGTGAAGCAACATCATCGAGTCGCAAAGTGCACAAATATTTAATTTAATTCAATTAGAACGGTTTACCTTTGCAAGATTTTAGAGTAGCAGATTACTAGAATATAAAAGAAAATTAGCTGCTCACCTGATTTCTAACATTAATAACGAGTTGCAGATTAGATGGTTTTACAGATAAGTATAGTAACATTAGTTTTAAAAACAATAGCTTCATCTTAACTTTTGTTAAATCCGATTCCACTACCTCACTGATTTGTTTGACGATTTCCTGTGTATTGTATTTGACAACAATGACAATATTTTTGTCATTGTGACACTTCATTGACAGTGTATTTCTGTGACAGGAACTTTAACGTCCAGAAATGAATGGAATATTATCAAAACATTGTTAGGTGATTAACTGATTATTTAACAATTTATGGGAGACATCAATAGAAGACCCAAAAAAATCTTCAAATAATTCGCTTTTTTTGGAGATCATAACGATGTAAAAAGATTGAACCAATGATAACGCCGACCAAACTTAAATTATAAAATTCTTAAAATATAACGAGTATTGAGCGTAATTTAAGTTAGTCTATACTTTCGAGCTTAATTAAATTTCCTTATAGTCAAAAAATATTATGTAATTGAGTCTCTCGAAGTAAATAACAAAAATATGTTATGTAAACATACTTGCAATACCACAAGTGCATACAAACATTGGTCCGTTCCAATTCATGCAATTTATAGAAATGTGTTTGTTCAAAATAAAGTGTTTAAAATAAAGGAATATAAAATAAAAATTACAATTTTACACCAAGGCTTTCTAATTATATATGTTATGATCTATTTTTTAGTTTTAAGTATAAATTAATCGAAATGAGTTAATTTCCTTCAGCAGTTACATTGAACATAAATTACCTTAAACCCTTTCATTACTTATTATTTAAATTAAAACTAATCTAATTTAGGCTATAATAAATTGTACTCAAGTGCTTGCACCATTTTTGTAGCACGGGTAATTTTATTTTTGAGGTCATTACATTACAACACGATTTCGCCCGATGCGCAACCGAACAAGACACGAACGTCATCCGAAACGGAAAGAAGGGCGATGTTGCATTAGCGAAGAAAGACAGCTGTCGTATCATTTTCAGCTGATTTTTGTGTACGCATCGCGGACGCTGCAAACTCAAACAGCTATCAAAACCTTTCGCAACGGTACACGTTCCTCGGTTGTAGTCGCGTACAAAGTATTTCTGTTGTGAGAGTAGTGCGACGCAGCAGGCCAGGACCGAGAGTTTCGCAGCGACGAACAAAGGGAGATGGTCTATTGAGCGCGGGTGGTGCGTATCGGGCGGCCGTGACGTCACTCGGCCAAGGCGTCGAGGCCGATGCGGCGGGCGCGCTCGTGATCTCGGCGCTCCGACGAGCGCGGCGAGTGGGTGCAGCGGAGCGGGCCAGCCTGGCCTCCACTGACTCGGGCGACGAGGGCGCTGGGCACCGGCCGCCGCGCAAGCGGACCCGCAGGCTGTCGCCGCCCGCCCGGCCCGCAGACATGCACCAGCCCTGTACCAACGGCGCGCCGCCGCCGCCGCCGCACCATGTCAACGGCGACACTGCGACACGTAATGGGGACCTGCAGCCGCCTGGCCTGCGGATGAGTCAGACGGACCAGGAGATCGTGCGCCTTATAGGCCAGCACCTCCTCTCTATTGGGCTTGAGTGAGTACAGCTGGGCGTTCACTCTTCATCTTTAGGCTAGATGTGTGCTTCGGACAGACTACAGCTGTGTTTTGTTATTGAAAACATTTATGTTTACATTGCTTCCAACTCTCACAGTTTATAGTAAGACCACTCAGTAGAAGTATGTATTTATTGAATTATGTTGCTGGAATTTAGAAAAGTAGTGATCCAGGCTGGTGTTAAAGTTTAATTACCTTTGTTTGCACACCACAGCTTCAGTCCTCTGTTGGCTTACCTAGCGTGCTGAACATGTCATGTGTTCACTTCAGTAAACAACAATGAAACTGCACATTTTGAATGCATGCTACCTACTTTGCATCACACAAAGAAAAATGCTTATGTAGTTCTATTAAGCACCATACTTTTATGGATGATCATTTCCTTTGTTCATGTGTTACTATGCAATTAAATCTAAGACAAGCTCAGAAACATTTAACAATAAGTTCAAAGTGAGTAGGTACATATTTTTGTCAAGTCATTATTGTAGTGATGATAATGAAGTTATTAGTTTCCTCCATAGTTTGTGTAGGCAGTTTCTGGTAAACAAAGACTTGTTCACTACTGTTTGCCATTCATAGCAAAATAGTTATCCTCTCCTCAAACAAGTCTATTTCTTTGTTCTCTTCACTATACATTGCTATAATATACACTAGGAACACAACATATTCATTTTATAAATTATATTGTAGTTATCTAAGTAAACAAAATGGTATTGATATCAGTAACAAAATAATAGATGTACAGTTCATATTTTTATAATGAAACTCATTAATAGTTGGATAAGATTATAGAAACTAGAAATAATAATACTAGAAATAATGCCTACAACTACCTAATAATGATGTCAACATTAGGCTACAATGACTTGTGTGTATTGTTACTGTTTTATGTCATGAACCTCATTTTTGTAATTTGTGAAGCTGACAGACTCTGTGAAGTGTGTAACCTACATTATATAAAGATGCAGACATCTTGTATTGCTACAAATGTACAATACTTTGTACAAAAGTATCATTTGTGGTGAGCATTCCTCCCCACATAGCCACTTATCATGTTATCAGTCACCTATATTCATGTAGTTGCTAGGTATGTCTTACTATACTTTGATAAACCATACCTACACTCTTATTAACTGGCTTCTCATGAATTTGGATATTTTGTCATTACTCTTATCTCAAAAAGTTTATCTTTTAGTAAAACATGTGGTTGCACTTAATTATTAGTTATTATCATAATTAATTTACAGGTAACTCACTTATCTATTGGTTTTTGTTAAGGATTTCCTATAAATAACCTAAAAGTTAGGTTCACTCTTGTAAAATTTCTTTTTAATTTATTCATTAACAGCCTGTTCTCGTCCACTGCTGGACATAGGCCTTCAATGGCACACGACACCCTAATCTCTTGTAAAATTTGTTTATATATTATAAAATTGTGCTTCTAAGCATACTTAAAACAAAGCCAATAGATTGGGTTGTCATATCTATTTACTATTTTATCGTATATGATTAAGTAACTAGTTACACAGGCAACCGTCAAGCAACCTCTATAGGTATATCAATAATTTAAATAGAGCAATTACAGCAGGCTATATAGCTTACTTTGCTAAATACTTCAATTATTTACGTACTTATAACACATATCCCATGTGTCCCACTTTAGTGGTCATTATTGACAAATCTAAAGGCAATGGCAAACAAATCCAAAATGCGGGTTGAATAAGGGAGGTGTGGTTTATTTGTGTATAAGTACATTATAATAGCAACTTTGGTGACATAGTAGCAAGAGCTACAGGTCCCTTCCGTTGCAGGGAGCTGTAGCTCATGCTACTCCGTGCTTGCCCGTCGCCAGACAACGCTTTCAATTTGGTGATATACATTTCAGTATCAGTAGTAAATAAAAACATCGGCGAACGTCGCCTTGGCGTCCTAATGAAGCACGGCTCTTACAAATGTCAAGTGCTTACAAAATATTCCATGTATACCAAATGATTATCATATTTTTGTTAATTTATATTAGTCTCCCATACAGTAGCCACAGTTGCACATTCCTTACCATTAGGACATTCACAATAGTTAATAATACTTTGGTAGTTTAAGCCAATGAATTAATCCTAATTCAGCAACACTTGCAACCAATTCACCAACTATATTGTTTTGTTGTAAGTCCATTTTATAAGAGGTGAGCCTGAAACCATTATTACAATCCCCAATAGGTAGAGGTTGGTTCAAACGCAACCGACCTGTGCAACAAAACTATATTGTGTTGTTTATATTATAATTTTGGTAGCTATACAAAATATTTGATAGTCCTACACAGAAAGGTGCCGTGGGCGGGTGGGCAACAACAAACCCCATGAGATTCTTAGGAAATCACCTGTTTAGGGTTAAGGGCCTTAACTTAAGGCATGTGTGTCTAACAAACTCAATAGTTTTGTAACAAAATGCACATTGAGCCTTCCTATTACCCACATAATGAAATACAAGATAAGAAACTACATATTATAATATAACTGTCTGACCAACCAACAAACAGCTGTATGTGACACGCTACTATATTATTATAGGTACACCTGCATACAAAGATGTGTGATAAGAATATTTCGCGTGTATGTAACATGTTGGTTACTTCCACATGTATTCATAGTATTATGTATTTGTACATTTACTATTTAGTAATAACCGTCCATACCATAGCAGGGAAGGGCATACACTGTTTGCTTTTTCAATTAAGCGCGCGTGTTGCGATATTGTTGCTAAGTCATGTTCCCTCACGTAATTTGTTGTAAATATTAATCAACTGTCTGCAACTCTATGACATCGACGATTCAATGCTTTATGATAATGTTTTCTTATGTATAACTTAATATTTTGAAAGAATACGGTTAAGTCATTGAACACTATGAAGATAAATGAATTATTTATTAATGCTACAAACAAACAAATTACTATGAAATCGAAAAATAATTATAATGTGAATTGGAAGGAGAAGATGTGAGCATCGCTTTGTTGTTTGATTGAAATGTAAACCGTGGTGTTGTGCCAGGCGCAGCGCGGCGCTGCTGATGGAGGAGTCGGGGCTGCACCTGGAGCACCCGGCGGCCGCCACGTTCCGGCAGCACGTGCTGGCCGGCGACTGGGTCAAGGCCGACCACGACCTGCGCGCGCTGCACGACCTGCTGCGGGACTCGCCGCACGTCGACCCACACAGTCTCGCAGTCAGTGACACCACACTTGTTCAGTGCCGGCTTCTCAATCAGGGCTAGCCAATCATAATTTTTTAAACGTTGCCCCACATTAGCACTTTTTCCTGTGTCGTGGGCGCGTTTACAAACATACACATGACACTCAGATTCGGAACAACAATCTATAGTTAATACGGAGATACTTATAAGAGTTTTTCCGTGCAGGACTCAAACCTGCGACGCGTTGTGCTGCAGCCAGTAGCCTAACTACCGCGCCAACCGTGCAGGCAATTAATTAATTGTTACTGTCATAAACCTTGGTTGTACCGTTAGGAATTGGACAGAAAATGTACTAATTGAAAAACAATGACATGTGTTTTCGCCCCAAACGCAGGAGATGAAGTTCGTGGTGCTGGAGCAGAAGTACCTGGAGCACCTGGAGGCAGGGCGCGTGCTGGACGCGCTGCACGTGCTGCGCAACGAGCTGACCCCGCTGCAGTACGACACGCCGCGCGTGCACCGCCTGTCCGCGCTCATGATGTGCGCCGACGCGCGCGAGCTGCAGCAGCGCGCGCACTGGCCCGGCTCCGGCACGCACTCGCGCGCCAACGTGCTCGCGCGCGTACAGGTGCGTGCCGCGCCCGCCCCGCCCTGCGTCTGTCGCGCCGTACTGAGCTGGCTCCCAATCCTTGCAGTCGGTGCTGCCGCCGACGTTGATGATGGCGCCGGGTCGGCTCCGCGCGCTGCTGTCGCAGGCGACGCTGCACCAGGCGTCGCGCTGTCGGTTCCACGCGGCGCCGCGTCCGTCCGCCAACCCGGAAAATATCCCCTTCTCCCTGCTGGCAGACCACCACTGCTCCGCGGATCACTTCCCGATACACTCGCTGCAGGTAACTTGTCTTTATTTTACTAGTTTTAGAGATAGGCATTCTAGAAGGTTGTCTTTATCTATATTTTTGTTTGGTGGCAGGTGCTGAATGAGCACTGCGACGAGGTGTGGTACTGTAAGTGGTCGCCAGATGGCTCTCGCCTCGCGTCTGGTTCCAAGGACAACACTGTCATGATCTGGGACTTCGACCCCGTGGCCAAGCGCCTCACCTTCAGGTACATACATCATCTGTCATATCCACGCTTCATTTATGTTTTCATTGCCGTCATATAGCCAGTCGAGGCTTTATATCAATGGTTGTTTCAATATAGGAAGTCCCTGGAAGGCCACACATACGGCGTGTCGTTCCTAGCGTGGAGTCCGGATGGTCGCTATCTGATCGCTGCCGGCCCTGAGGACTGCCCCGACCTCTGGATATGGAATATGGAGGTTAGATTACAAAATTTTTTTTGAATAAAATATAAAACCGTATGGATAGTAGTAGGTTTATTTAAAATTGTTAATTGTTTATCGATTTGTAAGGTAGTATGGTGGTAGCAGGTGTAATTTGTGGTGTTTAATATAGTAATATTAATATGTTGGTATGTATGTCCACAGACGGAGCAGTTGCACCTGAAGATGACTCACTCCCAGGAGGACTCCCTCACGGCCGTGGCGTGGCACTCCACCTCCGACAAGTTCGTGTGCGGAGGCGCGCGGGGACAGTTCTACCACTGCAGCCTCGACGTCAGTATATACTGTAGCGGTGCTTTGGTGGAATAGCTAACAGATGAACTGATATGTACCTGGTGATAGCGATCAGAGGACACCCTCCTCACAAAAAAAGTCATAAGAGTATAGTTGGCTTTTTAAAAAGTTCTCTTTTCCATAGCGTGTTGGTCTAGTATTTATACCCCCCCCCCACAGGGCAGCCTGCTGAACAGCTGGGACGGCGTGCGCGTGAACGCGCTGGCGTGTCGCGGGGACGCGCGCGCCGTGCTGGCCGCCGACACGCACCACCGCGTGCGCGCGTACGACTTCAGCGACCTCACCGACAGGAACCTGTCAGTACTGCGTACTCTACTGGACCACGGCCTTGTTCGCACGATGCTACTCATTTAGTCGAGTGCGAATATATAGTAGTTCTCTCTCACTTCCATTTTTGGACAGAAGCGAGAGAAAGAGAAGACTTCTGAATATTCGCTACTCGACTAAAGTACTAGCCTCGTGCGAACACGGCATTAGTCCTCCACGCCATATAGACAACTTGTCACTTGTATCTAAAGGCGCCCCGCACGATATTTAAACACGTACTACTCTTCTCACCACCTTACTATGGTCTGTTGTGAGCATTTGACACATTTTTCATTATTACTTCATTTTTGTAACGCACATATCAACGCGCGAATGAATGCTTGCGAAATTAGGTGAAAGCGCCCCAATGTGCGCACGTTCTTTTCAAATCTTCTGAAGTAATATGTGAATAACATTGAATTACCAGTTAGTACGACAAGTGATAGTAATGCAGTAGTGTGGTGTTACAGTATCCAGGAGGAGCACGCAGTGATGGCGATGACAGTGAACCAGGCCGACACGCTACTACTGCTCAACGTGGCCAACCAGGGCGTGCATCTATGGGACATACGTGAGTATTATACATTCGAACTCTTCATGTTGAACGACTGAACAAGGTCACTCATTGTGTAAACATTATAGTTCCTACACCTTGTGTATGCAAGTATGAGCTTGTGTTAGTCGAGACGTGTATCGAGTGTATGTTTGTGTGTAGGTGCGCGTGCGTTGGTGCGTCGGTTCCGCGGCCTGAGTCAAGGTCACTTCACCATCCATGCCTGCTTCGGCGGAGCGCATCAGGACTTCATCGCCTCCGGGAGCGAGGATAACAAGGTATCAAAGCACTTATTTTTTTTTCAACTGCTTAAACGTAAAATATCCATTTGGGTACAAGTTGCAAGTTCTTACAGCCTTCACGTTACTAGCGAGTACTTTACTGTTATTGTCGTCCTGTGTCCAGGTGTACATCTGGCACATAGCGGGCGAGGAGCCCATCGCGGTGGTGTCGGGCCACACGCGCTGCGTCAACTGCGTGTCGTGGAACCCCGTGCACCACGACGTGCTGGTGTCCGCCTCCGACGACTACTCGCTGCGCCTGTGGGGCCCGCGCACGCACCACTCCTAGTACCTGGGTGAGGCCCGCGCCGCCCGCGCCGACCGCGCCCTCGGCCGCCTGTACTAGTGACTAGTGCTGTGTGTTGCAGGGACGCGGTGTCCGCCGGGGGTCATCTGCCAGCGCCAGTGCAACTCTCTGCACTGCAAGCTGGAGCTGGCCCTGCCGCCCGGGCCCGCGCCGTTGCCTGCGGCCCCCGCCGCGCCCGCGCCGGGGGCAGAGCCCCAACCTGAGCCCGAGTCCCGCCGCACCCCTGGGGCTGCGCCCTGAACGTGCGCCGCCTCCACTGCTCAGTGGATGCCGACGGGCCTCTAGCTCACACGTGTGTTGGATATACGCCACGGAATCACGACTAGTGTACGTCGCCGACTGACGATATTCGATCTAAATAGTGTGACATTGTGTAATCTGTGTGCGCTGGAACTAATTTACTCTATTATTCATACTTAAATAAGTCATGTATCGAGACCGGGACTATCCGACGTCCGGTTCCATGTAACGATTGCTCGTAGTATGTAGTGGTGGTTGGCCCCGCGATGTTAGAGCCGGCGCCGCCGGATAGTGCCCGCGAGTCAGTAGTCCGTACTGTATACTGTACGCGATGTACTGGCCACTGAAACTGTAACTTATGTTTACTGTAATGTGAGTGAATATAGCGCGTGTACACGCGGTGCGGGCGGGGGGGGGGGGGGGGGGGTACGATTGTAAGCTAGGTTTAGCCTGCGAAATAATTTCATACAAAATTATTTGTTTTAGCCATATGAGTTTTATTGATTGAGGTTATTGTTTTAAGGTGAAAATTATGAATTTGTATTTGAGAGATACAATTTTATTATTATGATTTGATAAAAAGTGTTGTTATAGTCCAGTCATTAAATGTGTTCGATTTGGTGTGCTTTCTCTTTTTCCGAATGTTACCATCTCGTAAATCTGCCGCTCCATGGCATTTTACAGTACATGACAAAGTTCAGAAAGTTTCCTGTAAAATCGTCGTTACGTATATGTGTTTTCTAAAATTAATAGACTATTCTATCGCCATATATTTTTCTTTACACTTTCCTTTATATGTCCTTTATTCTGTCACTTCTACTCAACATGTTGAAATATGCTTTTATAAAATATGGTGGCAAAGTTGAAATTCGGAAAGAGCACATCAAATACAATACAGTACAGTTACCAAGTTAAAGAATTGTATGTTTCTTGGTGACCCACTTTATTTATACCAAATGAGAGGACTATTTGGGTTACGTATTACTATTTTGATTTGATGAATATCTCTGGTCGGTTGCCATTCAAAAAAGAATAAACAAATATCTTTGTTCACAAAATTCCATAATTATTGTTTTGGAGGATGACAAAATACATTTGTATGTATTTGTAGTGTAGAGTTCTAAATTTATGTATTAAGGTTCGATTAAATAGATATAGGAAGTAGGGACACTCCCGCGCCGCTCTACCACACGATAATAATTTATTTAAGTCTCTTCGGATAAATTAAGTAAGACTTAGTCCTGCCCCGCCCGGTCCGTGGCGCGGGCCGGCGTGTATCGATAGCCTCAGAGTATATTTTGTAGCGGGACCGCTCACGGCTCTATTTTTATACCGACCACTGAATCTCTCGCGAGGTTGTTTACTTTACTAAGCCGTTATACTTGACACGTTCGTTGTAATATACTGGTACCGCCACACCTCAACTTACAGTTTGAACCACTCCGAGACACACGCCGCCACTGGATCATCGTATAATGTTTTTCATTTCGATTTATTTACAAGATGTACCACTATCCTCCACGATAGATTTTATATTATCTAAGAAAGTTGTAACGGTTTAGGCTGGTCTCGGAGTGCTCGACAGCTGTACCAGTACACCAACTGTCTGGGGAACTATCTCGCATCATCGGACAACGTGGTTGGTGCACTGGTACAGCTGTATTGTGTAGACATAATGTCTATAAATATTTGTAAATGTGGAATACCTTGTTAGTCTGTATTCAATTTTATATTGCTTAATGGAAAATGTTTGCAGTAATGTAATACTTGTCCGACACGGTGCGAGTAGGGACTGGGTGGCGAGTATAACGCGCTGGGTGCACCGGACTGCCGCGCAGACGCGAAGCGACGTCGACAAATTATGATCAGCCTTTGTAACATATTTGTTTTTGATTGATTTTACTATATTTTTAGAGGTACTAATTGTAGCTTTTGTAGTTCGCACAATGCCTTACATTACCTGTATGTAGCCGCACGCGACGCCGAGGTCCATGCCGCGTGGAAGTGGACTGTATGAGCTTGTGACATCGTTTCGGAAGTCAAGGTATTTTACGTAGAGGAGTAGCGAGGGGCGGCGGCGGCCGAGCGTTGCGTCAGTCTGCGCGGCGCTCTCCTGAACCAAACGTCTGGCAATAATGTGCGAGTGTGTGTACAAGTACAAAGGTTGGAGTGTTCGGTTATTAACGATATGATATCTATAGACTTGTATGGGCGCGCGGACGCGGCCCGAGGCCCAGGCCTCTCATTTGAATTGTTAAAAATAAATAATTATTATATCAATAAATTTTTTATTGTAAACTAATCTGGTCTTTAATTTTTGTATTTGTCTTGTAAAAATATATTAAGTAAATAAATGGAATTCTTATTTATCGAGATAGTCTTACATTCTATCAGTAATTGCCTATATTTATACAACAGCTCATAAATAATTTGCCACAAGCCACAAGAATCAAATACTAAACCACTAGAAATAACTTAACACTTTAATATCAGTAATAACAGTAGACTCTCTTATAAACTCAAGTAAAGCTGGTGACTATAAGTTGGCGGTGCCGGACTTCTCCACCAGCTCCAGCAGTGTGTGCAGTGAGGTGTCAAACAGTTCGCACCGGATGGGCATCTCCAGCGAGTAGAATGGGTTCTTGAGGGCATAGTCTGAATATAGTTCATAGATCCTCTTGAGAACTACTTCTGCACCTTGCATGTTGGGGTCTGTCACTATAATGAACTTAACACCTGTAAACGGACAGATGGTCAATTATACATTACTGTACTGGAAAACATTTGTCTATCACAATAGCTTTGAAATTAATTTATTCTGTATACAGGATACAATATTTAGCACTTTTACTTGTATAAGAAGTTGTAGATGAAGCTGGTGAACATTATATTATTACATATTAGCCTTATATTTGAAAAAAGACGAAGTACCTCACAGCAAGACAATTTATTCACATCAAACAAATTAACGTAATGTTTTGATGGTAGCAAAACAATGTATCGAACTATGGTACAACTCTATTAAATATTAATTTTAATAGTAGTATGGCATTGGCCGAGTGCATCTTTAACCAAGATTATTTCTACATTGTACAGCTGGTATGAGTGCTCGAGTGAGTGCTTTGAGTGTAGGTAATAGCATACAGTATACAGCACATTTGGGTAAGTTATACTGTAAGTAAGTTGTACTCAGGGTATGAAATACAACTTTCCTATCCGAGTGATATTGTTACCTGTTAATGTTTGGAAGCAGGACAGCTTAAATGTGTCCGCTGTGAGTGACTCAATACCGGAGCACTTGGGAACAGGACTCAGTTGACTAGCTAGAGCAAACAGTGGGTAGAACATGCTGGCTAGTACTATCTTCTCATTTGTGGTGGCTCGGGCTCGGCCAAACTTTAGACTTAGCGGATAATTTTCCTGAAAATTTAACAATTCTTTTAACAGGTAGTTCAGCATTGTTGTATTTGTATGATGACAAGTCTTTATAGCCTTTATAGGTTCCAGATGCTTTTAACATTTGGGTTTCAAAATAAACACAGTTTATTTGGACCTCAGTGGTCAAAGGAAATAAAAATTTACATAATGTTTACCTTAGTTTCTATTATATCAAACACATCTCTGCCATCCTCTGTAGTGCGCCCATTTACTGGAGTACCATTGACCGACAGTAGTACATGTCCAACTGTAAAATATATACCACCGTTATGTAGTTCTTATCGGGTTTTTATAGTAGTTTTGGCTAAATTTGGTGACCCACAATAATCTAATAATATACCTTCGTGTTTGACTTTATTTCATGTGGGACAACATTATCTAAAGCAAACCGTTGTTGTACGCCCATTAGGTCTTGTATACATACCGTTTATACCATCTCGTTGTCCAAAAGCAACGATAACTTTCTTATTTTCATACTGCAATTTGATGTCCAATGGGAAACCGAATGTTTTCTCCGCTTCCACTCGTGGGATATTATGGTCATAGTTAAAAATTAGACCACCGGACTTGCTCACTATATACACACCATATATGACCATTATTACGTTGTGTACCTAATAAATTTATTTTTATTTCAAAGATCGATACCTAACAAAATATCAACATTCGATTCACTCAACACCCACTGTGACTGTTCGAAAACGATAATTTGTCATTTTATTTTTCAATTTGTCAAGAATAACTTTCATTTGTTTGTAACAATTTTCTTACTCACGACTTGTACTCATATTAGAGCACAATTTTAGTATTTTTTCAATATATTTTAACACATTTATGTCATGTTATTAATTTTATTTTTGTAATCACACATAATATGTACCTTTTATGTATCATGTTTTCGAACGGTCTCAACGTCAAAATGTGACATTTGTATAATTTTATCTGTGCTTATTTTTGACGTGACACATTATTTGGTACGGTATTGCTAGAATTTTTTAAGAATTTAACAGATCAAATCAAATTCATTCAAATTATAAAATGTTTCATTTAAAGTTCTTTTTAAAAATAAATGTTCGATAGATAAAAATTATCTTTATAAGTTAGTTTTGGTAAGGTAAAGTTATCTTTATAAAATGGATCGTAATTTTAAGGAATGAAGATATGATAAGATGAGAGTCATCTCTTCTAGGTATTTATTTCAATAAGGCAACACCACAATCTTCATTGTTGGGTTTTTTTTTAGGGGGGGAAAATCATCGAATGACTGCTCCCGCCTGGGTGAGGCGGGAGGGAGTGTCAGACTTTTACTGATTAAAAACTACCCCGTTCCTTCTCCTGCACGTCGAGTCGGAGCCCCGGTTACCCGTTAGGTTCTCCTTATAGGCACGGTATACAAAAAAACTAGGGTAAAGGACACATCTCATCCGGAGAAGGACTGAGCATTATTTACATATTCATGACGCTTATTCAAGTCAACCCGTTAACCAATCGTAGAGATTATGGGAAACCACTCTTATGTAGAGGAGGCGCATAGACAGCAGTGGTCTAGTAGACTGCCACGAGGACGTTTGTAAAAGTTCGAATTCACAAGTAGATACCTGTTATACATAACACCGAAACTTTTGGGAATTGAACGCGTTGCGAAGCAAGCGGTTGGCTAGTTGCTGCACCAACCGTGCGGTCGGACTGTCGGAGTAGATTGCATCAAATATTTATTTATGATATTAATTAATATTATTTATACATTTAATTTTCATGCTCAAACAATATTGGACCTAGCTAATATCTTATCAATCTCGTTAGGTAGGTACCAAATAATATTTTTGCTGCTCACATCATTATATTATACCTAATTGGAGATAAATAAGGACATCTGTTTAGTTTCGAGCCTTTAACCAAACATAACCCACACAACACAGAGGAACATGGTGGTGGGCATCAAATAATTATTCTTTAGTGAGACGTTGTGCGGTGCCAGGTGCACTGATTGATACAATTTATTCAGGAATGTGGTTCGTAATTTTCGTAAAAATAAAATTAAAGAACATTACCTCACCAATGAACAATAATGACGGAGGTTTTAAAGATCTATAAGTACTCTATACTTTTAAATCGCATCTATGTTTTCAATGTATTAGTATCTACCGACCATGTCGCACTTCCAAACACACTATACATCTAATTGCAGTATCACCTAGAAATGATGCCTGCTGGAGCTGAGGCTGAGCTGACACGAGCGACCCCTGACTTCCATTACTCACATTTGTGTGTATCGGCGGGCAGTGACTCAATACATAATACTCATCAGATTATCTGATACAATATCTTTTATTTATTTATATTAGTTACGTACCTAGGTATTTACTTATTTACCAAAAATAATGACGTGACTCAGACGCGACATTTATCTTGATAACTTTTACTAAATGTTTGTGCCTCATCGGTGTAATATCGACCTCGGGCTTACTTCGTAGAATTTATACTTACCTTGTATTTATTGTAGATAATTAATCTGGTAATTGTAATAGGTAGGTATGCGCAAATTATATCGCTTTTGTGATTAATGATAACATTATCCTCATCCTGATGGTAGTATTGTGTCACCTGCTGCAGGTTTCGCCTGACTGCCTGTTGTACGTTCAACTGTCAATCTGCCCTTCTATCTACACACATTAATTATCTTTATCTGTCCAACTCGCTATGGAAGTATCTAATGATGCTGCATCTCGATTACATATCGACACAGGATGCGTGTATCGAGATGAGCATAGTCTGACATATCATTTCCTCCTTTACTTTGTGTTTCTAATCTGAGCTAGATTAAATGGAGAGCACTCGTACTGACTCAGTAAGTTAGTCACTTGTGTTTCAGTTCTAAACAAAATATTGTCGAATTGTTCGTATGACATAACTGCATGTGATAGCAGCCACTGACGCATAGTGCTTGTACTACGCTGCGTCCAGTCAGGCCACAATCACACCTGTCTGGTTATCACCGTTATCATCACATTAGTCAGATGAATCACCGCATCCAGCTGTTATCACAATAAGTAACAGTAATATTTTGATGTGAGTGTTATTGTATTGATTAGCGATAGTGAAAATAAGGACAATAAATAAAATATGTAAATGTTTTATTATTAATTTACCCGAGGATGCTTTGAGGGAAAGATAAATACTATTGGTATTTTTACTTACAAAATGTTAAACAACCAAATAACCAATGAGCTATATGCAGGTCACAACTAAAAATGTGTTATTTACTTGTATTTCATCCAATTTGTATTCGCATTCACATTTTTTTTGAGGGGAATATCATCCAATAACTTCTCCTGCCTTGGGTTACGCGAGAGGGGGTGTCAGACTCTTACTGACTAAAAACCACCCTTTAGTTAGGCCTTCCGCGTACTCGCATTCACTACAATTATTTTATTAGGTAGTACTGAAGTACCTACCTTCTTAAAGTCACTTTACATGTACTTATATCAATATTAAGTACATAGTTACTATTTACTTACTATTCGATAGTACTATCAGTGCTTATGATGTAATGTAAATAAAACGTATCCTTTACCAACTGGTGACATATCTAATCCTCTCCACGCAGAGTAACAACAAATTCTTATTACGTCAAAGCATTCATTCACAGCACTGCAGTATACACTTTGAGAGAACATACATACAATATACTATTATAACTAAATCGTACAATTTTAGAATCCTCATTAAATAGGCAACCTTTTGAAGTAGTTTGCCGAACAAGTCCCGTACATTTTTTTATACCAAAGCTGGTTAAAAAAGCAAGAAAATTTGTCGGTTAAAAAAATCACAACTTAAGTGATTACCTACTCCAATAGTAGACATTATTTTTTGAAAAATGTTAACAAACAGTCGGAGCGAACTCTAACAGTTAAAATTGGCAGAAAAAATGTACCTACAAATAAACCCAAAACGAAATAATTAGAGCCGGAAACTTAGGAGAATTCGATGATTTTTTGGATGGCCATATGCGTCTTGTTTTGTTTCATATTTTTTATGTATGGGACATTAGTCAAGGTACCTCCCATAGCAGTTTGATTCACTGTTTCTGGGACAGTCTGTATATATAAGTTTAAGATAGATATGTATTTCTAAGAATATTAACATATTATAAGTATGTAGGTACATAGTTCACAATAAAGTGTCCTCGATAAAGTGGCGCTAACAAGTCACAATCACAAACAGCTGAAAAGCGGGGGCCATCGATACGACATCGGATTAGATTAGCGAGACACCACTTCAAGGAGAATTCTGCTAAATCCCGCTGATAATCTATTTGATTCCTTGAAACTAATAAAGAAAGTATGTGCCGTATGCAAACAGGGGTCCAAACGTGTGCCGATACATTATTTATTTAGTATGGACATCTATTTCTTAGAACTAGTTTTATATCGAATTAAAAACAGCTGATGTAACCCACACACTATCTGCTCACGTATCGTCATTTATTTTTATATAATTGTATCTGACAGGAAAATAAGAAACATTAATACAGTACTTAAATGGAGTGCGTGAATTTTAGAAAATAAGTCGATTATCAGTTCGCACTTATAGATAAGTTGATTTATGCGATATACTTATAAATATTTATACTTAGGTATCCCTAAATTATACTCAGATAAAACTTTCAAGTTTATTATTTATTTTCATTTTGATAATAAAAGTTACTAAATACATCACGCCTTGACACCTTTATTAGTATTCTGTGGCTTTAATGTAGTCATCAGTACGTATACTAATTTAGCTTTCTGCCGGTTTATCCGGTTAAAGCAAAATTTAACCAACAATCTCCCCAATCCCCAATCCCCGAATCCCCAACCATCCTCAAACTCCTAATCTTCAAAAGGCCGGTAACGCACTTGTAACGCCTCTGGTATTCCAGGTGTCCATGGGTGACGCCGATTGCTTACCATCAGGTGATCCGTCTGCTCGTTAACCGGTTTATGCCATAAAAAACTCATCCTCCTAATCCTAAAATATCTCCAGTCCAGAGTATATCTCCATATATATCTCCATGTATGTATATCTCCATGTATTAAAAATAAAATTTAAAAATGTGTGTATAAAAACAAATGGCGCAAAAGGCAAACAGAAACAAAAAACCTTCTTTGTGTTTTTTTTCTATATCTGTATAAATAAGTGTATTTATTTGTTCTTTTCTTTTTTAATTTTGTATTTTATTGTATCTGTGTGCGTGCCTACTGTCGAATAAATGATGTTTCTTTCTAGTTTCTACACTTATTATTGAGCTTCATGTTCATAATCCTGAAAAGTTCCCAGTGCCATAGTCCTAAATAAATTTGAATATGCTCCTCCTGCAAATGACACTGGCAAACAATTTCTACACAGGAAGTCAGGTTATGGAATGAACTGAAATGATGTAGAGGTATTTTGGCGTCAGCTTTGGTGGTTCTTGTTTGTCGCGCAACAGCCTGCCACATTACCCACCAACACGACCTGTATAGCTACTGTTTGTACTTACTTGTACTTCGAAAAAAAAGGTACCTATACCTAGAAGAATAATTTTGAATTTTTGCATTTTTCGCCTAGGGATTTACCAGTAAGCTGTGTTAACAGTAATTCACTGAGCACTTATCCTAGTTGTTTCAGCAATTTCGGAGGTCGTAACTCGAACGATGCTCATAGAGGTCGCTAGTGTAAACTGTTGAGACGTTAGCGGTTCAAATATTTCAGTTAATGTTACATCTGCCTCAGTTAATGGCGGTCTCAGCTCTGTTCATGTAAATAAATAATAATTATATTGTTTCGATACGTACGAGTCTATCTCTGTAATCAACATTACAAACAACATTGTGACGCCTACGTGTAGCGGTGTACGCGCGGTGACTCATCTTCCGATATCTACGAGTAGATAGTAATCTAAAATTAGAATTAGAATAATTATTTGCTAAAAATATATTTCGACTGCTAATTACAGCTCTGGTTGTTAGCTTAATTATGTAAGTACATGTACACAGATATAAAAATACTGAAACCTGGGATTCATAAATAATATAGATACCTAATAATACGAATTGCCCGCCCCAGTGCGCTCCATCTGTGGTGACGATTATAAAAGACTTAATTAATTAAATACTATAGTATAGTGATATGAGTACCAAAAATTATATAAAATTATATATTACTTTAGATAATTATTTAAATGCGTGAAATAATTCTATCACTGTAAACCTATCAATATTTTGTACTATTATCTCATTATCGGCGAAAAGCCAGTGTGTACTGGACAAATTATCTGGTGTGTTGGTGTCAACATAAGGAGTCACAATATATTGGAGTGCGGCGACGGCGTTGCGGTGCAGTGCGAGTGTGGCGCGTGCGCGGTGCATGCAGAGCTCGGTGCGAGTCGCGCTCACAGCTTCCCAGAAAGCGTTTTCCTGGTCACGGCGAGCGCAGATTGCGCTGACGAATCCCTACGTCACGTCGATGACGCGGTGTCGCGAATCTTAGTATAAAAACGTGCGTGTTGGCGCGCCGCGTCCCCTAGTGTTCGGTGGTACCGAGTGAGGACAACCTGGCGCCCCGCAATGAATACATGGACTCCGACGTGGACGAGTCGGGGGATGACACCGTGCCCGCCGGTAATGTCCGCCTCAGTGACCAGTGTTGTGATGTGCCAGTGACCACTTGTGATGCAAACATGAGCTCTAAGTCTAAGGTGTTATGGTTCAGTTGTTGTGTCGTAACCTCTCGCTGGCCTGATGCCGGCTCTGCCCAGGACCTCCGCTTACTGCCTAGTGCCTTGTGTCTTGTTACCCCTGTGTGGTAGTCGCGTATGTATTTGCATGGGTTAAGGAAAATATTTCTCTGTGATGTGCATTGTAATTTTTGTTTGGCAAATATGTATTAGTTTTATAAACCAGACACAAAAACATGAACCTAAAAATTCGCTTTCTAGTAATACCATTCATAAAAGTAGGCCTCCACATTGTAGTTAATTTAATCATTGTTTCGATTCATTAAAAACCCATTTTATTACGAAATGAAATAAGGTTATTGGCTTATTGCTAACAGTTTTGGTTAAATATAACCTTATTAATTTGTTGAACGACATCAACTCTGACCTCATGTAGCTAAATGAGTTATATTTCAAATGAAACCAATTAAGTATAGTTAAATTGTAAACAAATAAATAATTGATTTCTTTGATTAGGTAAATATTGTAGTGTTGCATATTGTCATAAATTGAAGTCAAAATTAGCGTACGGCCGGAGCAGCGTTTAGGCCTACCTAACTACGATTAGTTAAAATCAATTTTATGTATACAGAAGTGTTACTCCAACTAATAATTACATGACGGGATTATTATACACTAATATACGTACCTAATGTGCATGCATGAATCATTTAAATTAAATACATTAATACTAATCTCCATAACATTTGTACCAAGCAAAGCTGAGAACTTTTTTTAACCAATTATTATCATACACTACAATTACTTATTTTATTTTGAATTAGAATGCCTCTTTCTACTGACTCTAGAGTTAAATACTTAAGTTATGCTTTACCGGTATTTTATGCAGTCGAACATTATAACGCGCCTAATACATTTTCTTTCATACCTAATATAAAAAATTATATTAAACGTGGTCTACGTTTATGACAATTATGTGTCTATTATATAGAATAATTAGTCACAAGTTAGAGAAGTTCAATAAATAGAACAGAATAAAGGTAAAGGTGTAAAATATACTCGCCATGTCACAAAGTACTTAACTGAAGATAATTAAGCGTACCTATACTTAAATGTTACAAAGTTATCCACTGTTTGCTAGTTCTAGGGCCATGCTATATATAGGTAAGCCGCGGAGAACCTAACGAGTAACCGGGGCTCCGGCTCGACGTGCAGGAGCAGGAACGGGGTGGTTTTTAGTCAGTAAGAGTCTGACTTTCCCTCCCGCCTCACGCAGGCGGGAGAACTCATTCGATGATTTTAGCCCATTGAAAAAAAGCCATATATAAACAGACTGTAAAGACAGAGAACAACAGTTATCACTATCAGTGGTGTTTTTCAAGCATTTTTGTTACATTACATTACATAACTTCATGCCTTTTATCCCCGAAGGGGTAGGCAGTGCACATTACGGCACTTACTTAATACCACTGTACAATGTAACACTCACTTTTCACTATTTTATTACCGAGATTTTCATTAATCCCAGTTGTTCAAAAAATAGTCAAAAAGTCAAAGCATTTATTTTAATTAAACTATAATTTGGTACTTTTGAAACGTCAACAAATACAAAATAAATAATATTTTGTCAGTCTGTCCGTCAGTGAAGCTAGGTGAATCTAGGTGCTCATTTCAAAATGTAGATTCGAATGGAGAAGAACGAGCAAGAAACTCCATTCGTTACTCTTTTTGAAAAAGTGTGTTCTACCATTGTACCTCTAGAGACATTTCTCTGATACATATTCCAATACTGTACGTATATGTGAGAACAATGCAAACTTACTAAAATTAAAATAAAACATAAAAAAGTCTACAAAATTACTCTGCCCGACCTGTGCTGTAACTATAATACCTACTTATGTAGTATTTAGTATCCCATACAATTTTTAGTATTTTTCTATTGTCAAAGAAAGCCTGTCTCCAGAGTACATATAGACAGAGACTATGCTAACTAACGCCAATTGCTACCATTGTTACATACCTTTTCACTTTTTGTACAGTCATCAATGCTTTCATACAAGCTCGTCAATTATAATATTTTTGAATATGCAACACGTGAAAGATACAAGTAAATTAACTAAAGTTAAAACGAAGGTTTTAAGTTTTTATTATTATTGTTATTATAGAATTCGTTAGTTATTATACACTTATTTATGCAGAATTCGTAGTAGAAAGATTTATTATACACTTATTTATTCACGGTCAATCGATCATCATACAAACTTTTTAAAACATTTACAGTTAGTAAAGTCTATTACTAAATCAATGTTAAGCTTCAACATCCTCGCGGCTACGAGGGCGCTACGAGAGAGCTACGAGTTGCATTTCATTGCACACCGAAAGAGACCGACCCAAGTGCGCGCTGAAATGAGTTACATTACAAAGAAATAATGCAGTAGGTTGACCTCAAGGAAACTAAAATTCACCAACATCATTATTATGTCAATCACAATACGTCTATTGCTGAACATAGGTCCTTCCCAATCCATAGGATTCCACATGGAAATGGACCTAGTAAAATTTCTAACTATTCTATTGTAAAAATCCCTTAATTAGTAACCAATCGACTAAATGCAGTTAAATATAATATCGAGAAAATATCTATAAAAATACCTACAATCGTTATCGATATACAATTCCAAGTAATTACTATGACAGTACCGAACACACACAACAAATACTATATCAGCGATAGGGAAGCTTTTCAATGTTTATGATTTTTATAATCACTCCTCTCTCTAAGTATTACCAAGATTAGATAATTAGAAACCACCTGTTTCTGTCCCTTATCAGTTACTATATTAATTATCTTAACGATTAACGCTAACTACGTGGAGATCGGGCGCTTCCTTGTCGCGAAACTAATCGAGACACACCTGTACTGTGCAACCTTCATTACCTACACGTGCAGTTTACTATGTGGCAGTTGGAAGTACAATTATTATCCATATCTATTTTTACAATAATACACACAAAATTGTAAATGATTCTATGAGTAGGTTCCTACCACTACAATACTTTATACTGCAGTTAAAGAAAACAACAAAATCGACAACCTTCGGTCGGACAATCCAATAAAAGGAGGTTCTTAATTCGACTGTTTTTATCCTAAAGAACCTGGTTTTTCCTAATGGTTTTGATCTTTTTCTTTTACTTAATATTGCTGAATCTCATGTCTGGTTTGGGTACCTTGCATTATCGTCGTCGCCACATTGTTTGTGTAAAGAGATTCGTAACAGACTGAATACAACATACATAAATCATACCTCTGTCCCATGAGGTTAAGCTAAAACTACAGAACGCCATCTTTACCAATCCTTACCATAAAGTCTTTTGATTCTTCTACATTCCATTACTGGCACCTGGTATTTTGGAAACCTATTACAATACATTTTAGAGCCTATTTACTTTACCCTGAAAAAGAAAATATGACGTAACTATACACTAAATTCGCATTTAAAACTTTAGTCTGCGTCTTTCAGTTTTCATCACTGGTAATTGTTCCCATATTTTATGGGAATGGTGATGTATTTCTAGGGCTCATTATACATTTATAATATTATAATTTGTTTGTTCTGTGCAGATCCAGAGAAGTGGGAGCGTCCAGATGTGCTGCGGTGTGTGCGCTGGGTGGCGCGCACGTTCGGCGTGTGTGCACCGCGCAAACATCTCCTGCCTGACACCGGCCGCGCGCTGCTGGCCCTCACCGAGGATAACTGGGTGCAGGTACAGGACTTACTTCTTAATCCTGTATATCCCCATTGCGTGGTCGATACTTTCCTATTAGAAGATACCTAATAACAAACTTTCTTTTCATTTATATTAACTAACATAATTATTCATTTTCACACCAACCAACTATATACAATCCTACTAATATTATAAATATGTCTTCACGTCAAAACGGCTGAAGGGATCGAGATGAAATTTGGGACAGGGGTAGACTATGGTCTGGAATAACACATAGGCTACAGTTTATCCCACGGACCGCGGGCGTAGCCGCGTGGAGAACCTAGGGCTTAATGACTGGTATATTAATTACGAGTAATTAAACTCGTTGGGGAATACCGAGTTTGTTCACACACGATACTCTCTAGCTTGTCAGTAAATAGTGCTTATATATAGGTATACATGCTAACAGGAACGTCAGTTTCAGTTTATCAATTATCCATGAGGATATTACATTACATTACCTAAGACCAAAGTTGTGAATGAAATCTCCAGTAGTACATACTTTCCCAATTCCACACGTTTACCATACCTAGGTACAGTCATCGAACTGAAACTCTTACAGAGTAAATAACACTGCCGCTGAAAATTAGGTTAAATGCGTCCAATCACATTATATCTAACTTTCTAAACATTAATCATTAAGTACAGGTTACCGTACATTTAAATTATTTAAGTGAGTAGTTTATGAAACATGCACTAACTCACTGAAATACACTGACTAAAGAACTGAAAGTGCAAACATTATCTGTCTTACATCTATTCAGTAGCTTGTGTGCAAAAATTACATTCATCTGTCCATCTTCACAACGGTAAGTAATAAGTAAGGAGTTATAAGTAAGTAGGTAATAAGGTACCTTATGATTATTATATTTGTGAGCAAATTACCAATAATCCTATTGCTGCGTGTGATGCAGGTATGCGACGGCAGCGAGCAGTCAGCGCGCATCTACCACGCGTACCTTCGGCACGCACACGCCGGCGCCACGGGCCAGCCGCCGCCGGAGCCACTGCCCGAACACCAGGCCACCACCAGCGCTACTGCTACTGATTACAGTGAGTACTAACTCTTACCATTACAATTAAATCATAACAATATACAGGCGAAGTGCCCGTGTACCCTTTGGAAACATCGATTTAATATTCGCAAGTAGGTAATAAAAAAAAGCCTAAAAAGAAAGCTGAAAAATAAGGTTGAAGTTGCACTTAAACTACATTCAAACAAAACACAATATACCTAGGTATATTGCAGTGGAATGTAATCGATTGATATTTCATAAAAAAATCTTTTGGATAGAGTTTAATTATACCGCTTTTGTCAGAGAGTCTTAAATAATGTACAAAATTAAAAAAAAAACAGAATTATACGAGTTACATACATTTTCCACGTTTATTTAATTAAAGTTGTACATCGTAGATAAAATCTCTTTGATGAGCCAGCCACTGTATTTATATGTTTTACATCAGTTAATAATATTTTTTGGTTCCAAATATGTCAAAGATCATGGAAAAAATATCATTTAGAATTTCGTTTGGCATTCGTAGCGTAAAGTTTATTTGATAACACCGCCATCTATTGACAACTAACGTAGTAACGCCTTACGAGTAGAAAGCGCGCCAAAAAACTTATGAATGGACGCGATGAGTCATTGAGCGAGGCGCGTTCCATTCATCTCACACGGTTACTGACTCACATAGATTCATGGAAATTAAACTTTGAACCGTAATTGTTGGCCAATTTATATAATTTCGTATAATATTATTCACTTCAGTATAATTGGAAACTGTATTTGTTAAAATTAGGTTATTCTTGCGACATGTAATTCTGGAATTACGTCGTAACATTTGCATTATATGGGTCACCTGTGTGTTTAGGGTCACCGCACGCTAAACTATGCGACTGCTAAGAATGTGTTCTTGCCTCTTGGTGCTACCTATACCTACCTATACGAGGTGCAAGCACTATCATTATATTTTTCTTTCCTTTTCGTTTTTTATTGTCTGAGAGTTGAAGTTATTTTGCTTACCTACCATATGCATATAGATAATGTTTTATGTTAATTAATCTATTAGTAGGTAACCCACGGATGTTGTGTTAATTAATTTATTTCCTTACAATTTTAAATTAAAAATGCAGAAAGTACATGTTAAATGTGTTTTTACGCATCGACTGGTTTATTTAAAACTTTGAATAGGTAGCTATAAGTTCAGATTAAAACACGATTTACTTTTATTTGGAAATGTGTACAGGTCCTGTATATTTTTGACCTTTCCCTCATTTTAAGTCCCTGGAGAGTGTAGGATAGATGTGATCTGCCCCAAAGTGCTGGCGTATCTTAATGGATCGAATGGGCACCGGTCATTACGTCCAAAGCCAATCGAGCCCGCGAGTATTGGGGGCGCGATGTTATTCAATTGTTTTTGTATTCTTTTTACAAAACAACATCACGGTCAAGAAATGTAAAATATTTATTTTTTACAATTAATTCTTTCGCGTTGAATGTGTCGTTCGCGTTAAAAACATTAAAGCCACGCGCTACATGGTTGTCGTGTTTGAGTTGCTGCCAAAATATCATCGGCGCCCATTCTTTGGTGATGTGGCATCCATCTGGCATCCTCAACAACTTCCGCAGAAACGGATGCGGTATGTGATGTGGAAAAAGTGTACAACTGTATAGTCAGTAAGTAGTTAGTAGTAGTAGTAGTTAGTAGTAAGTAGTTTAGTCAGATGTTCAGACAAATAAATTCATCGAACTTTAGCGAGCGACAAAAAACAACGTGCATTTCATCAGAAATTCGGCGGACAGGTCATTTAGTTATTTTCTTTTGAATTTGGAATCATGATGGAGATTCCCGCGCACTGGCAAGATGGCGCGCATATTTGGCGCGCTCCCGCTGCCGTTCCGTTACTCACGCGGCCGTAGCACGCTACTGATTCACTACGCTTTTCACTGTCAGCTCCGTGGGCACCTCATTAACTGGCCTCATCATTATTATGCTTGCGACTTTTTTATTATGGCATTCCAGTAATTTATACAGATAATAGTTATAGTTAGGTACCCAGCAACAGCTACGAAACTCGCGACAATACATTATAGAATTTGCAAATTAGTTCCAGTTCATGAGTATAAATAAAACTAATACCTAAGTACCTACGTACCATTTTTCTTAGTAAATATTTCAATTAAATATTGACGTTTCCATTGACAGCCAAAATAAATATAAAACGACCAGCAACATGAGGAAAAGTTGACTGCAAATATAAAAAATTTTAGGTACATACCTACATATCTACAAAAGTAAAAAATAAAAGACACCGCTCAGACCTTGCAGGTTGAATAAATGATTGCATCGAGCACTGTCCAGATGAATGCTTTATTGGTTAAATGCGATGACTAAATAATTTGTAAAGCAATCATTCTTAGAATAAACTTTCTACAGACAGGTCAGCACAAAGCCGGATCTATCGGTATAGCGTTGATTAGTTAAATGTTTTATTGCCTGCTGAGTGGCACTAAGTAGTTAGTTTGTACCGACTGTCAACAGATGAGGCTCGAGCCGGTGACTAACCAGTAGGTACCTCGTTATCTTACACAAGATGGTTCAAATACTAGAGCTCGAGTGCTACACTATAGCGGAAGTGAATCAATATTTACTCGGAACTGATTGTGAATCACTGTTCCGGATTGAATCACTACGATCTCAAAGCGTTGAATGAATTAAATTCTTAAGCTTTGAGTGATAGTGTTTATGTTGGCTTGCGCGTGCGCGCGTCTTTACATCTCTATGTGAGTAATGAGCAGGCGCCGGCGGTGTTTGCGCGCATGCGTCGTGGGAGAGTTGTCTGTTACAAGTGTTATGTGTCACTTTGGTTACTTCCATTCATTATTACAGATACAAATTATCTCCTCTGATGCTGTACTCACAAACTTATCGATACTTGTAGTAGATGGAGATAGATGACAGTGTAAAATTAGGTCGTTGACTGGTCCACTCATTCAAGGCCACACTCAACAGGTTGGGGTTTTCCAATAGATTCATCATTCATGTAAAACTCTTTTGTGACTTGATTCACTTACGATATCGTACATTATAGGCAGCTTTTATAGGCAAACATATCATTAGCTGCACAACTAAGAAATAAAGGAAACTGAACACCATAATCATTGAACCAAGTCGCGCTCTTTAGATACGATGATAATAATAATATGTGTGCTAAGTCCCTAAACTACATAAAATTACAAAAAAATAAAATAAAATAATATAAAATCAAGATCATAATTAATGTCCATGTTGCATGTGTCGCGTCACACATTTAAAGTCATTAGCAAATAGCATTTGTTGCAAAATAAAATAAGAAACATGCGACAGTCGTCCACGACCCCGATGTCTTGATGTTACAAGTGACCATTTTATTTATTTCTCGAGTAAATTCGCACAAACATCATAAATATGACCGAGTTTGTTTTACTTAGTGCTCGCCTGCTATTGGTCGGCCCAGGCCCAGACCCTCCCACACCACACACGAGGCATCCTCTGCAAACCACAGTAAATTAGATTTTTTGTGGTCTGCTAACACAAACAGTTTAATTTCAAAAATTTTCGAGCACATTAATTCTTTTGGTTGAATCTGAAGGTTGCAGGGGTGACCTCGACATAATGGCGCTTAAATTACAAATGTCCGAATGATTTAACGCATTAATATAAAACCATACCTATTATTTAATAGATTATGGTAATTTAATGTATAAATTTAATATTATGTACACGTGAAGAAACAATAAGCTCTACTTTAATTAAATTAATAAATCCATCAAAACATTTCTGAATATCTCTGGGAGCTTATTATCTTGCTAACAATAAATGAATGTGTCCATTCTCCCCCACAAAGTGACTAAGTGACTGGTTGAACGTGAAGTAGGTACCTGTGTCGGTTATGGCGGTTACTCTAAATTTAAATCGTGCAGATAATGGCGGCAACACGTTTGGTGATGTATTCTAGGAAGCGCGGGTGATTCGGCAGAGTCGCGTCCGTGCGGCGCCTACTGCCAGTTACATAATTGCACGAAACAACTTGATATACCAAATATAGCAGCGCGGGCCATAGGTTAACGAGGGACTAGACGACTATTGTTAATAAGGAGCTCAGCCAATGGGAAGGCGGGGACAGAACTAGCAGCTCCCGCCCGCATCCGTGCTGTGTAGCACCTTAGTATCTCAATTATATTATTAAAATATATTACTGACATAATTGAATTTCGTTTTCACACAGTAGCATTAGCAACTGTATCTCAATCGGAGTATTTTGTTTTAGGATCAGTTTTTAACTTGAATCACGTAACGTTATATGCTGGAATTGGCTAAAATATATTAGAAGGGTTTTCCACTTTTCGCTTGTTATGGAGCTCCTTTGTTACATTACATTCATACAGACATATAGAATAGAATGGAGTGCGTTCACGTATGCACTGTACATAAAGAGTAGGAAATGTGTTGTGTGGTCAACCGCAAGGCGTTTATATGTACAAATATACTCGGTGACGGTAGTACTGCGGCCGGGGATATCCACACTTCTACAGGCACCGCGCGACCTGCGCGCCTGTCTCGTGCAGCAAGGTCATCTTACATAACACACCTTCACACAGACTTATTTGTTGCGAAGCTTCTCAATATTGTGCCTTTTGTCCTATAACCAACAGCTATGAACTCAAGTTTGTCATAACGTCAATGAGTCAGATATTGACAATTTCTGGTTTTAAAATTTTTTTTATATATTTTTGTGTGACATTAATTCTATTTTTAAGTATCTAAGATTACAGGTAAGTATGCACTGTATTATGGCAATGCTGTCATTAATTTGTGAATATTTCGCGTTGATAGCAATGTGGAGGCATAGACTAGATCTTTAGTTATATTATTTTTGAAATTGTCGCTATGTTGCTACAGGAGCGTAGGTCTATAGAATCTGTAGATAGATAGATCGCTACATATAGCACCGCGCGAGGGTCGCAACGGGGTGCACATTACCATGATGTCAGGGATCAGGAGTCGCGCCC